ACAAAATAGGGAAGAAAATTTGGTTCGTGTGTTGCGAGAAAATATTACCGGGATGAAAGTGCTTTGTGTGACGGTAAAGCCAGTCGTTGTCCAAATGGTTCTATTGCAAGGGGGTGGTGAGCAGTGAATCAGGCTACTCTGGTTGACTTTGTGGTGTAGGATGTTGATGATGAGCTGAGGTAAGTCTGTTGTTGCTCATAACGTACGAAATGTACGTATGCTCTTTAGTGTCATATACTACTAATAAAGAGTGAGCTTATTCACTACTATCTACTCGTGATTTAGGCTCACAATTGGTACCGAGGATGGAATATGAGTTTTCACATCATGCTGCAGTAGTTTTTGAAGCGTTGCGCACCCCTCCTAAATTATCACCCCTGCTTGTAATACCAGGTACCAGTTTGCGTACGATACTACGGTAMGTACGGTGGGAACTACTACAGAATGAAGCAAGATTTTTCCTCGTTAAACTAAGACCAGTCAGTCATTACAGTGTTTCTTCCACGTGGAAACAATAGAAATGCTATTGAAGTACCGTAAAGTAAAGACGAGAAAACATCGAATACAATAATTGCTTTCCCTCATCGCAAAATTGGGAATTCAAAAATTTGTGGCAGAAATGCAAGGTACTACCAGTAGTACAACCCGTCCTTGTGGGCAGGAAAAGTCATTAGTAGTTGGAGATATTAGTAGTGCCTTCATCTGCATCTGTTCACATAGTGCTGAAACACTTGGCCACTTCGCACTTTCTGTCATAGAAAATATTCTYTGAGCCCTTACAAGGTTACCCATCATTATGTCTGCGGAAGGGACTGAAATTGACGACAAGAGTAGTATGTCTCCTGTTATTTTGATTGCCTTGCTTGCCGCTGTCGCAGCTGCTGCCTACTTCTTTTTCTTTAACAAAAAGGAAGCAGTGAAAAAGAGAGGTAAAGACGTCGAAATTGATGAAACGTTGGCAACTAATACCGTGGGATTGGGAGATATCACGTACATTATCAGCAAACTTTCATCAGAATCAGATCATTTGGATGTCTTGCTGGCCGTCGCCAGTACACCGGAATCTATTTCTTGGAGTACCAAAACTTTATTGGCACGAGAAAAATTGATTGCGAAGCGCCTTGAGGATGAGAAAGAAGAAGAAAAGAAGAAAAAGCAGCCAGCAGCGAAGAAGACCAATGATGAAAATATGTTCGATTTGGGCGATGACTGGGCTGAAGATGACGACGATGATCTTGATGATGAGGCCAAGCAAAAGGCCAAACTGGCGAAGGCAGCATTGGAAGAGAAGAAAAAACTTGGAGAAGAGGTCGCAAAAGCATCGGGAAAGATAAAAATTAAAATCGAGGGAATGGACGAGGGAGTCATCGGACAGCAATGGGTGGAAAAGTCTTTGGAAAAAGCTGGCGCCTGGCCATTTGAAGATCTGCGATTTTTGAAGGATAAGACTTTTGAATACAAGGGAAAGCAAGTTACTGCTTTAGATCACCCTGGTTTGAGAAGAAACTTGTGTTTCCTTGCTGGAAGAATCAACTCCATGGCATTGAACTCTCATCCGGAATTATGTAAGTAGTTCATTTCTTGGCTATTTATTCAAAACGGGCATCGCAACTTGTCGTTTTTTCTAATATTTTTCTTCGACCCTTTTTTAATTTCACCACTGTCTGTTGGCGAAAAACAGTGGAAGCTGCCTCGAAACAACTCATCGACCCAACATATTTCAAAACTGCTGCTGATTTCCGTCAACGTTGTGCAATGCTTTTGGAAGCGACGCTAAGATCCGCTGTTGGGCTGCGAAGTTCGCCTCTAACCAAGGCCATTATTCAAGCTGTTAGTTTGTTCAAGATTGGTATCAAATCGTGCACAAAGAAGGAAGAGGAATGGTTCAATACGATCATGGAAAAGCAGTACAAGGTTTTGCCTAGATTGAAAATMGAAAATAACACGGTGGAAAACTCAAAAGACTATCCCGAAATGGCCACGGAAGATATACTTATGGTTTCATTTGACCTTACTCGGCTCCACGCAGAGAATTTCACCAAAACAAAGATTGAAACGCTAACTAAGCAGGGGATTCCACCTCAAATCGCTCTTCAGCAATACCGTGAGGGTTGGTGGTTTCTTCTTACTGGCGAACGACTTGACGGGGAAACGCCTGGATCGTCTGTAGAGATAAAAAAAGAGGGTATTTTGGAAAAGGTTGATGAGAAGGATGTAAAACGATTCGACGAAGCTAAATTTGAAGACCGCCTTCTTACGGCTTKGCCGATGATTATTCAGAACGTCGCACAAAAGTCGGGCAAGGTCAAGATTCAATTTAAGGCTCCAGCGGTCGCTGGAAAGTACAAGTTCAATGTAGCCATCAAGTCACAAGACTTTCTGGGTGCGGACCAGGTGGTCAGTGTTGAAGCAGATGTTGTGGATAAATCCACTGTTACACGAGAACCTTTGGAAGAAGAGGAAAAAGATGATGAAGGGAAGAAGGATAAATAGACTACTTTTCGAATTTAATGAATATTTTAAAAAAATTCCATACAAATGAAATGTTTCAACACACTGGTCTTAAAACTGTTTGATTCAAGAATTTGGCAATCTTTTAAACAAGGGAATTTCATCCTCTGTGAAAAGTTCTCCACAGAGAAAATGAGAATTGCACGATCGTCAATGCCTGACTCTTCTTGGTCATCATGTGCAAGGAAACCCAGTTATTAAATTACAGGCAGAACTCTTTAAACCAAAAGGAGAAGCAGCCAAACATAAAGGTCTGTTACAACTAGTACTGGCTTTATGCCTTACTTTCTCACATTTTTTATCTCTTTTTGGTGATTGACGGCAATGTTGTTCTGAMGCTGCAGCTTCTAGTAGTAGTAGTAGCAACATCAGCAGTAGTAATACTACTGCATCTTTTGCTCCTTGAAAATGCCTGTACAAAGGAGTAGTAAAGTACTACTAAAACCACTAAATTACCCTACTTTTTAATATTGTCTATCTCTGCAACTAAATATCAGATAAAGACCTAGTTTTTGGCAGGATTCATCTTAACACACAAATGAGTGTGTTGGTCAAACTGGGTATTGAGGATCATTTGAAATCATTATCATTTCACCTACATTAGTAAGCCTAAACAAGTCAGAAGTAGTACTACTAGTAGTACTAGTACTACAACTGAGGAGCTACATGATTCAAAAAAGCACCTCATACACGAAAGGACTACTAGATGGACCTACCAGGGGACATACTATGAGTAGATAAAGTGCACCCATTACCTATTGGGATGTGAGGCATCAACATCCATACCATCATCTGAYCAACACAAACACTATTACTACTACTAGTAGTACAAATGTTTAAAATATTAATATACTAGTTCCAATACTACAAAAAAATATCTATAATAGTAAAGTTGCAACTCTCCTGTTGGATTTTGAGTGATATTGTCAGATGGTTTGAGAGCAGATCACAGCTCATCATCACCAGTGAAGTCTTGAAGAGGAGAAATGATGAGGTAATCAAGAATCTGGATGATGCAAGGAACTTAAGGGTGAGAAAACTTCAAGAGGAAAATTTACTTTTGTCCAAGCAGAGGAAGAACCAATGTTCTATACTCCTTGGAATGGTGTCAACCATCAGCAAGAATGATTATCTCTATTGGAAAAGAGTCTTTGACAACTGATATGGACAGTGTCAACTTAGCAGCTTATCTATTTGCAGAGAAGATCCAGGGAAGACTCCCAGGCTTTGTTACTGAATCAGTCCCAGTGGATAGGATTGAACTCCAGATTTGCTCRTGGGTGTATGCCTAGAATTTCTGTCTTGGTAGTCCTYTCGGGCCATGCTGCCCAAAACCTGGAGCTCAGGGGTTGTTATGAGAGCTACCTATCCAGTGACAAAAATGCTGCTTTCCAAAAAGTTGTTCCAGAAGAGATGAAATGGAATGGCAGCTACCAATTCTAAGATTCTACTAGAGGGACTCATATCAGAGCAGGTAAATTCTTTTATTTGAAATGGTATTTTTTCTCTATTTGGAGACGAATTGTCTCAATTATTTGACAAGTATTCCGCGTTGTCACAAAAATCCTATTTTGACTTCCTTCATTCCTCTCATCAGTTTCAAATTCCTCTCCCCTGTTGCCAACTCTCTGCTGCCTAGTGACAACTTTTCTACTTCTAGTGCCAAATTTATTTCACAGTTGAGCAATTCTATCTAATTGGAAAAGAAGAAACTCTAAACGCATGTATGTTTGTGCTGCTATTGCCTCTCTTTTTTGTATCTGTAATGTGCCTTTATTGTTACTGTAGTACATGTACTTTAGGTTGGTTTTCATACTGCTCCTATCTTTGACTTCAGTTCATTTAAGGTCTCATTGTCTTCCCACTGTTTTTCCTGATAAATTTTTTTCTTCATTTTGCGCAACTTTCTTTTTCTATTAATTCTATCCTCCCTATCATCTCTGGTTTCTCTTCTGTACGCCACTCTTTTTGCTTGTTCAATCTCCACTGAAGCATCTTCTTCTCTTTGCTTCTTTACCTCTTTGACTAACTTCCTGAACAGCATACAYCCCTTGTAGCTCCAGCCTTTTTTGTTACTACCTATCCTGCTATCGGTGAATTGTTTTCTGGTTTTCTTTCCACTCCCAGAATTATTCCATGATTTGTAGTAATTGTACACAAACAGTAGTGCAAAGGCTTTGTCTGTTCTTGCAGTGAAAATGGAGCTCAGTTTATCCTTGTGTTGCCTTTGCTTGAATTCTGTTTGTTTAGGGTACACCACCCCTAAAATCCTTGTTCCAAAGTACTTGAATTCCAGACTATTTTCCTGTCTGTAGCTACTTCTTAGCACATATRTCTCTCCTCCATCTCCTTCTGCTATGAAGCAATTGCTGCTGAACAATTCTGGTACTACCTTGTTTTTGGTCTTCTGTACAAAATAAGCAGAGATTGATGATTGCAAGACACAAAGTCTCTCACTTTTGTCTGACATTGTGCATATACTTGCTTCAGTTGTTCTTACTCTTGTAGTTTGTGTGTTGTGTCTGCATGCAGTGATAGCACTGTTGATAGTCCCTCCCCACCTTGCCGCGGTGATCACCAAGCTATCTGGAACTGGGTCTGTACCAAACATAGTTTTTGAGGTTGACTGCAATGATGGCATCTAAAATTTCATCTTCAACGGGAAACTTTGTGTGCTTGAAAAATCTCTCCTCAATGTACTTCACCAGATTATTCTTCATGACCGTCTCATGCTGATTTTTAATTTTTGAATTTCCCAATCAMTGCGTCTTCTTGATGCCCATCTACGTTTTTTGTCTCATCAACCATTGTGAGTTCTGTTATACTTGGTCTGATAGTTATATCAGCTCCTACAGCTTGAACGGTAGCAAAAAGATGCATTTTGATCAGCATTTCTCTCTGGCATTGAATGTTGCAAATAAAACAAGCTTTTCACCTCCAATGGGGCAAGCTGCTGTCAGTGCATCCCATGCGCCTCTTCTTGCTCTGTGAGCATTCTGCAGTACTACCATTTGTTGTCTCCTCGGATTTGTCATTCTTGTTGTCACTTTTGGTTGCACTTTGCAGAGCATCAAGTTTGTTAGAAATGGAGGCATTCASGACCTTTACTTTTGAGTTGCAAGCAAACAAGGACAGTTACAGTGTTGACAGATCATTTTGGAATTAGTAGAAGTGAAATGCCCACATAACTTGCCATGTTGCTCTGTGTTGCCTAAAAAGAAAGCRACAACAAACTTGAATCTCACATTACATAGTTTACCATTCTATGGACAATTGTGCCACCAAATATCATTCAACAATTTGCAAATTCCACAGAAGGATGCAAGAGCTGCCTGTAGACCATTATGAAGATTGTTTACATTGTCAACAGACAGATTGCTTTTTCCTTGAGGATGAAAATAAAGAGTCTCCCAAGCATCGGGTCTAGTGGACAGGGTGAGATCACTGAATATACTGAGAGTAATATACAGTGGACAAAGGGTTGTGCTTCTGCACCTGTCTATAGCAATGCTGTCCATGTAGAGTATAATGGGAACGAACATTTTGTCTTTGTCTGGATTGCACATTTTTTTCAACTTTCAATCCACCATTCCCCATGGTGGAGTTTGTAGATGAGGGAGTCTACCATTAGTTTGGGAACTTGTCACAGTGAAGTGGGGTTTGTTTGATTGGGGAAAGATAAAATTTTCTTCTTTGATTAATGAATYGTTGGTTAAAAGAGATTCCAATGCACATCTAAAGTACCTTACATAGATTACTTTGTCACCGACTTCGTTGTTACAACGCCATTCAATAAGCTGCGGTACAAAACCATCACTGCATAGTTCAGGAGCTGCTTCATAGCATTCATCTGAAACAGATTGGCAAGTTTTGATCAAACTGCTCCCAGTACTCCAKGTAAAACCAGACAACCTCTCCATTTGATAGACCATTGGTATAGCTCGTCCCTTCTTCTGGCAACTACTAACAGTATGTTGTGGTCTCTCRTGATCTTCATTAAATTTATTTTGACCTTCATTGTGGGTGGCAACAACTGATGATCAAAGGGTGTTTTGATTACATTGACAAGAACAGAGTCAGAGCTCTCCTCCAAATGAACGGGTTTGTAGAAAACATCATTGTCAAGATCAGAATCGACGGATTCCATTGCAGACTCTATCAACACACAATCAACTTCTTCAACTGAAGGGTTATACAAAACTTGGTTGTCAAGATTCTGTGGCATGCCATTACTAGATGGACCGTCTTGGGTATTAGTTAAAGCAAACTGCTGGCTAACACCAACCTTATCCCTTGAAGTTTTGAACAAAGACAAACTAAAGTCGACGGTCCCATCACAATGTGCACACCGACATAAATATAATATTGGAAGCAATCTTTGCTGAGACTAAGATGAGTGAGTAGTTTTGTTGACCTGATGAAGCCTGACTTTTTGTTGCTTTTGGCACTGTAAAATATGGGATGCTGGTTTTTGACAGTTTTGACAGAATACCTTTAGTAGCTTGAAAGGGGGGGGGGTCATTGTAAAGGGCAGAGTTTCACTACTACTACTACTGCTGCTGCTGCTGCTGCTACTGCTAGTACTACTACTACTGCTACTAGTACTACTAGTACCAGTACTTGCATGTTCAAGTAGTACTGATAGTACTAGTACTAGTACTAGTAGTAGTAGTACTATGGAAATTATGTTCATTTTTCAAAAGTAAAATACTAGTACCACAAATATCAATTTAGTATCCAACAAAATGGTATATTCAGAATCATCATTAAAAACTGGACTAGACTGGCTACTCAAAAATTAAAATAGTAGTATTTTTGATAAAGCTGTAACTGCTTAAAGGTTGGATAGTTTTACTAGTATTATGCAGTAAAAATGAGAATGAAAAAAAATCCTTCGGGGACTTCTAGGAAATTTGGACCACACGTGGAATATGAGTTTCTCTTTTTTTCTCTCACACTTYGTGATGCAAAAAAAAACGATGCGCTCCCCTCTAAATTATGACCCCTGCCTACGAGTACGTGTAACAAATACAACGAACGGAAAAATTTCCTTTTTTCAGCCCCCAAATTTCGCGTGACCAGTTTCCGAACTGATCCTGCGTACGTACGAAGTCATCGTCACTATTCAAAACGGATCAAAAAGTTTCTGACGTGCACGACTAAAAACCGCGAGGAATGACGTCCATCATCTTCGCATCCATCCATTCTTTTCGGAACACCAAAAACGAAAGAAGAACGCAAATTGGGAAGGAACAAAAATACTTCACCAATTTCATGAACAACATTTTTGTGCATTTTGAGAACCACATCACACACTGAACATCACCGCTCTCGTCATCATCTTCTGGAACCCTTTTTTTTCCACTACCACTCCGTACCCACGTACGATCCCTAGACCTACGGTAACGGTACCTCAGGCGAATCTAGTTATCAGTGATCACAATAATATTTCTGCTGAGAAATAACACCTTTACTAGACGACCTCAACAGTGATAGTATTAACAAGATGGAGTATTTCAGGAAGGTTTCCGTCCTTGCGGCTCTTTTTRTTGCCGTTGCATCCACTGCATCAGCATTTGTTCCTAGAGCGAACAAGTTGTCCAACGCATGCGGTGCTTCGAGCGGTATGTTCATGTCAGCGGTTGCTGAATCTTCCGACACAGCATCCGTTGCCAAGACCATCGATAACATCAGGTCAGTTGAAGATCATAAAAAAAATTCAAATTGTTTCAACCGACGGCCCCGTTCACAACACACACATGAGACGTTCCTAACATTATTTTAAATTTTTTCCCCTCAGAAATATTGCTGTGATTGCHCATGTCGATCACGGAAAGACCACTTTGGTCGATGCCCTAATCCGACAGTCGGGTGTTTTCCGTGACGAGAACCAAGCTGATGAGGCTGGTGAACGTGTAATGGATTCAGAGGAYCAGGAGAGAGAGAGAGGTATTACCATTTTGTCGAAGAATCTTGCCGTGCAACGTGATGGCGTGAAGATCAACATTATGGACACACCAGGTCACGCGGACTTCGGTGGAGAAGTCGAACGTGTGCTGAACATGTGTGACGGTGTGATTTTGCTTGTTGACTCCGTCGAGGGACCCAAGCCTCAAACCCGGTTCGTTCTCGACAAGGCCCTCTCGAAGGGAATGAAAGCACTTGTCGTTGTCAACAAGGTTGACCGCCCTGCTGCCCGTGTCGATTACGTCGTAGACAATGTCTTCGACCTCTTCGTTGACCTTGGTGCCACTGATGAACAAACTGACTTCAGAGTTGTCTACGCTTCTGGTCTGCAAGGAAAGGCCGGAGATGATCCAGAGGAACTCGCTGACGACATGGGACCTTTGTTCGACGCCATCTTGGAGAGCATCGATGCACCAACCGTTGAGAAGTCCGAACCCGAAGCTCTTCAAGCGTTGATCAGTAACATCGACTTCGATCCTTTCAAGGGAAAGATGGGCATCGCGCGTATCACGAACGGTTCAGTAAAGGCTGGACAGCCCATTGCTTTGGTTCACCCCGACAAGGATAAGCGAACTGGAAAAATCAACGAATTATATGTCTTCGACAACCTAGGAAAGACTGCAGTCGAGGAAGCCGCAGCTGGAGAAATTATTATGTTCACCGGCGTTGATGGAGTCGAAATTGGAGACACTCTAGTCACTAACGAAAACGCCGGTTTGAATGCAGCCGAACCGTTGGAACCCATCGCTGTCGAACAGCCTACCGTTCGAATGACCATCGGAGTCAACAAGAGTCCTTTGGCTGGACGAGAAGGAAAGTTCTTGACAAGTCGTATGATCCGAGACCGCCTCTTCAAGGAGCTCGACCGTAATGTTGCTCTGAATGTTGCGGAAACCRACTCAGCCGACCGATACGAGGTCTCTGGGCGTGGTCAATTGCACTTGACTGTCCTCATCGAAACCATGCGTCGTGAAGGATTTGAACTCGAGGTTGGTCCTCCTACCGTTATYTTCAAGACAAACGAAGACACTGGTAAGGAAGAAGAACCTTGGGAAKCCGTCGAAGTCCGAGTTCCTGAAGAATACAATGGAGCCGTCATTGATTTGCTAAACACTCGCAAGGGTGAGCTTCAAGATATGGGTCTAGAAGAGTCCTCGGGCATGTCTGTTGTCAAATACTTGGTCCCCACCAGAGGAATGCTGGGTCTTCGATCCGCTCTCCTTTCCAGCACCCGCGGAACTGCCCTTATCGATAGTGTTTTCGATTCCTACCGTCCCAAGATCAGCGGCGACATCCAAGCCCGTGATCAAGGATCTTTGCTCGCATTTGCTGATGGAGATGCGACGACATTCGGTATCGARGGTGCTCAAAGCCGTGGAAAGATGTTTGTTTCTGTAGGTGATGATGTCTACAAAGGCATGATTATTGGAATCAATCAACGCCCCGGTGACCTCGAAGTCAACATTTGCAAGACCAAGGCACTRAATAACATGCGTGCTGCCTCAAAGGATAAGAATGCTGGTATTGTTACACCGATCGAGATGTCCTTGGATKCGTGCGTGGAATACCTTGCTGTCGATGAAATTCTTGAAGTTACTCCTAGTCTGTTCCGAATGAGCAAGAATCCTGAGATGGCAAAGAARGGGAAGGGAAAGAAATAAATAGATTTTGATTATTCTTTAGAACTAAATTTTACTATTTTCGACGTGAATTTTTCTATTTTGACGTGAAACTTCGTAACTTAATAATATTCACTTTGTGTAATCAAMAGAGACACCAATTTTTTTCGCATATTTTGATAGTTAAAGCATAGAATAACGTTCATTTGATAGGCACGACAACACCAGAGAGACACATTACATTCGTCTGCATCACCTGCTATGTGAGCGTCATAACTCTGGAGAGTGTCCAACGGAAAAGACTTTTCCTGTTAAAATGGTGTAATTCATGGCAATGGATTAGAAAACRTATGATTACGTTGCGTTTACAAATCCGTTCCACGTTTYGKGGGCCGAATTCTGGATTGTGCACTCGTGTAACGACAAGATTTAATTTACGTATGTTGTTTATTTCTTCTTGCCCTTCTCTCCCTTGCTCACTTCAGGTGGTCCTCGCACGAAGGGCAAGAAGTCCTTGCCTCCCATGTATGGACGAAGGACTTCCGGTACAGTTACTCCATCCTCTGTTTGGTAAGTCTCCAATAGACAGCATATGCCTCTTCCAGTAGCGCACAGGGTGGCGTTGAGCATGTGGACGTAGGAATTGCGAGCATTCATGTCGCCCTTGGTAGACTTCTTGCCTCCGCATCTTGTACCAACACCACGCGCCTGGTAATCGGTACAGTTAGAGCAGCTCACCARCTCGCGATAAGCTTGTTGACCGGGGAACCATGCCTCGAGATCGTATTTTTTGACTGCCGCGTCGTTCAGTTCATCACTGACTAAGCAAACAACACGGTAGGAGAATCCTAGAGAATCGTAGAATTCCTTGGCGGCTTGGAGCATCTTCTTCTGTTCGGCTTGGGAAACCTCGAAATCGTCGTCCACCAAACAAAATTGTTCGATCTTTTCGAACTGATGGACACGAAAAATCCCTCGAATGTCCTTGCCGGAAGATCCCGCTTCCTTTCGGAAGCAAGTAGAGATTCCGGCGTATCTTAACGGCAGAGAAGACTTCTCGATCCACTCGTCCTTGTGGTAGGCGCAGAGCGGTTGCTCTGAGGTAGCGATCAGGTACTTTTCCTTCTTCTCGCTGTCGGGATCGTCRGTTTTTCCCGATACTTTGTAGAGCTGCTCGTCAAAGTCATCMAGCTGTGCAATCGAGGCCATGACATCCTTGTTCATGAAGAAAGGAGGTTGAACAACGTTGTATCCGCGAGCACTCAAAAAGGCAATGCCGTAGTTAATGATGGCTTGATTCAACAAAACACCAGCATTTGTCAAGAAATAGGCGCGGTGACCGGCAACATTTGATCCACGTGTGGGTTCGTATCCACCAATCCTCCACAAGAGTTCATCGTGGGTCAAGGGTTTGGTTTCCGGCAGAGTGTACTGGATTTTYCCTTGAGGGGCAGGCAAGATWCCCTCCCCTTCTGGTGGGATCGGTTTCAAGTCAATAACCAGGTTATCTTCTTCTTCGTTGTTGGAAATTGGAACCTCGGGATCGACAATATTACCGATGCGATTAAGGAGTTTGTCCCGGTTTTCAGCAAGAACGGGCAACTGGGCTTCGACTTCCTTGATTTGCTGCTGAACAGCTTTCATCTCAGCGATTTCGGCATCGCAGTTTTCTTTGGCCTTCTTCTTTGGAGTGATCTTCTCCTTTTGGATCTTGTTAACCTGCTTTCTCAATTCATCTTTCTCCTTKGTCAGGGCGCGCCATTTCTCGTCTTCGGCGATGACTTCGTCCACCCATTCGGCAGGCTTGAACCGCTGCTCCATGTATTTGCGGTACTTGGCAGGGTCGCCCCCTTTGTATGGTCTGAGTTCGTTGATGTCAATAGGCATTGTTAATAACAAAATGTTTTGTAGATCAAGTCTTAATCAGAAACACTATCTTATATTTACAGTATTCGACAAATGATGTTGTGTCCGSAGCCATTTCGCAGACCAGTACTGGTACTCGTACCTTTTCGCCTCTGATTGGAACTGGATGCGTCGCTAACAGGCAGAAAAACGTGGTGAAGCATTGCACCAGTAGAATTTCACCTAGAATTTCACCAAGAAGTTCCCTTCTACCGGTACACTCGTCGCGTCCACACGGTTCGAACTGAAAGTCTTCCTTCAAATCCATCCACACGTTTCCACTGATCGAGTGAGTCCTTTCATGATGTTTGGCAAGTTTAACAATTCATAAGCAAGCTAGAATCAAGTCGGTTCGAACAAATCAAGGATGATTAGCTCAGTTGGTAGAGCGTGCGACTGTTAATCGCAAGGCCATGAGTTCGATCCTCATATCGTCCGTTTTTGCTCCATGCGCAACCGCCAATGCGTCGAACAGCAGTCGTGCCATATTTTTACTGTTAGTATGAACAACCTATTCTTCATAGCATCTATGAGGAAAACTGTCTGCTCATCCTTGATCTTAAAACTATTATATTATAAGGAATGAAAGGGCTACTGAATGTCTAGTAGGTGTAGTAATTCTGTTGTTGCTGTTCTTAAGTGGAGGGCTGATGCATCAAATTGTTTCTTCTTGGTCTACTAGTACTACCATTATCATCCAAGAAATAAGATTACTAGTATCAACACCACCAATAATATGCACCAAGTCTCTGAAGTATGACATTCATAATTTGATATTCTCTGGTAGATTCTGTAGATCTGGAAAATCTGTACTGTCTGCAAAGAAGTTGGAACAACAACCCTTAGCAGTGTTAGGCAGTAGGAGGCAAGCTAAAGCACTGACAATTCCCCAAAAAATCTGTCACTTGGTGGATTCTGAAAAGTAGTATCAAAAAGTTGGTTTGTGTAAGTGGCAATCAGAACAACAAGAGAATCTCTATTGAAAATATGTTGCTCTTGCATCAAATTTTCTTATTTGTACTTCAATTTCTTTACTTAAACAAGATGCATAGTACTACTAGTATGCATCCTTGTACGCTTGCTTCAACAAAAAACCAGCATCATGCAATTCTGATTGGGTTTTGCCAAACAAAAAAGAGAACTGACAAACCTTGTTACTCTTGCTTATGTCAAGACATGCTGTGGTGGTGAGGTAAATTGACTTGTCGCCATATTGAATTCATGCTAGTACTACTAGTACAACTAACCTGATTTCAAAAGACAGCAGAAGGCTAGTAAATTGAAACAAGAACTTGATTACACTTACAGATATCACAATATAGTGAATACTTCTGCACACCACCAACACACACCAGGACACAACCAGAATTGTTTGTTTTGTCACAGTAGTGCTGTACTGCTGCTGTTACTAGTAGTATTAGTGCTAGTAGCACTACTAGTACTAGCCGCTACTACTAGCTGCTACTACTACTACTACTACTACTACTACTACTACTACTACTACTACTACTACTACTACTACTACTACTACTACTACTACTACTACTACTACTACTACTACTACTACTACTACTACTACTACTACTAGTGCTGACTTCTTGTTGTTTCAGATCATCAAACCCAACAATTTTATCAAGTCTGTACCACCACCATATCCACAGTATCACTAATTTCACTGATGATACTAGTAGCTGCATCACATTAAAATCACATGAAATACTATTCCTCTTGTTCTTGGCCATGGTACCGGTACGTACCAATGGGGGCTGAGATCATGGTGGTAACGTTGCATCTTATAAAATAATATATASAKATATTTTCTCTCGATGTGGAATGTGACAGTGTGGCCGAGTGGTTAAGGCGATGGATTGCTAATCCATTGTACTTCGTACGCGCAGGTTCGAATCCTGCCACYGTCGTTTTTGCCCGCCAAAAGCATATCGAAGAGTGTCTCAAATGGTCGCCATCTACAACACCAGTGGTACAATGAAAAAACGATGCTTTTTACTCTCGCCATTACAATGGCAACAACATGCACTATCATGCTCATCTCGAACTTGACCTTRCATCTAGTGACACTCCAGCTYGAAAATAAGGTAGAATAGGGTTAACAAAACTTACATCGAGAGAAGTTTGTCGTCATCATTATCGACGTCGAGTAAACGAAACGTTATCAGGTCATGAGAAGGTATTACATCGGATTTCGTGGCAATGATACTACAAATCCAAGTAACCCCTTTCGTTCTTTTTCTTTTACAAACAGCATATTCTCTATCAACAGAAAGAGTCCGCGTCAATTTTAGGTCTGGTTCATTTGGCCGCCATCGATTTCATGGCGGATTTGCTCGGTTCGTTGCCAAAAACCCCAGTTTACGTTCTGACGTACTTCACTCAAATAAATTCGAAACTTCCAACTGCAACGAGCAAAACTATACAGACGAGTATGACAATGAAAATCGGGATGGCTACCACAAATACTCCAAAATACGAAAGGGAGAAATTTATATCGAGGACGACTTTCTGTCTCCTGTCGAAATTGATGCTCTTCGGAAGGATATCGTCCAGTTGCAGGAGAATGGCCTTTTCAAACCCAGTGGTCTGTCAAATCGCGTTGAGGGAGATAAGAACATTTTTGGCTCAACGGATCGGTTGACTTGTACCATAACACCCGATTTGTTTGCAGGCCAGAAAAAATTTTCTAGTGCGCGTTTTTTAGTGGAAGAAAAGATGGAGCATTTGAAGCAAAAATTACAAGTCATTCTAGCACACAGTAGCAAAGATGGGAAGTTACAACCCCATCGCATCGAAAATCGTGAATTTGATCTGAAGCTCGAATTGTCAGAAATGTATTACAGCATATCGCCTAAGGGTTCGAATCTTCCGAGGCACCAGGATGAACGACACGAAGATACAAAGGGCGTGAAGGGCTATGTCAATCAGACAAGAAGAAGCATTTCTTGGTTGATCTATCTCAATGATGAAAACTGGGGCGATACTGTTGCTGACATTCGTACGAATTCAAAAAGAAAAATAGGATTGCCTAAAGCGATAACAGCACATTCCACACACAACGCTAAGGACAATGGCGAAGACGCAACTGGACTTGGTGGAGAACTTCGAGCCTATTGTAGAAGATGCTGTCCCGACGAATACGTGCGATGTGGTTCGAACGAGGGAGATTTACAGGTTGGATGGCTTCGTTGTTCCTTGTCGCCATCGTGCTCGTCACCAACAAAGGAAGATTGCGAGTTTGAACCTATTTTTTTGGATAGTTGGGTCAAAACCAAKGTACAGAGACTACTCACCAAGTCGACGTCCGACGAAAGTACCGACTCGTCGCTCGAGTGGCAACCAATGTCCGCACTGTACCGGCTCAGAAGGAGCAGCGAGTTGATACTACCACCAAAGGACCAAACACCTTGGCCAGTTCCTGTGGTTGAGGAATACTATAATAACGAGGAGCGAAATTTGTCACTGAGAGAATATATCTCGGAACCATTTGGTCCGAATAGTCCATCTTGGCCACTGGAACAGGAACTTGAACCTATCGCATTCACCAAGGCACTTGCCTTGCAACTTAGAAAGAAGGATCATCGGAGTCGATTCGTCGGGATGGAAGACATCTGTCGGGAGGACGACACTGATTATGCTTCCGAATTCAGAATCGTGGATGTAGTACCGAGAGGTGGCAGACTTGTCTTGTTCGATTCTGTGACAGTACCCCACGAAGTATTGGAGGTAACTGAGGGGACAAGGTTGGCGATTGCTGGATGGTTGCATGAACCGGTACAAGAATTTCCTGATTGGTACGGAACTTGAGACATGACTGGTGAACCTTTTCATTGTACACAAGTTTTGAATTGAAATTTCCGATCCCATTTCCGATCCCCTTTCAACTCTGTTTTTTTTACTCGGACTGCTAGTACTAGTAGGTTTCATTTACTATGGAATCAAAGTAATGCACAAAGGATCTAGCTAAGGCTCTAAAGAATGGAGCGTGGACGTCAAACACCCTCCAAAATGGAATGAAATAGGAGTTTAATGAAATGCCCACATAGTTTGGTACTGAAAAGTGAGTACAATCTGTAGGTGGGAATGAGGACGATGAAGTACAGTACAAATAGATCTAGAAATTTACTTTAGGTAGAATGAGTAACGAGCCTCCTAGAAGGTGTAGGTGCATACACTCACGAGCAAGTAGTAGTAAAAGTAGAAATATATTTTTAGAAATTTTACTTGTAATAGTAGTACTACTAGTGATAGGTTTCGTTTAAGTTGGAAGGAGATGATAGTCCCAAACAGGTCAATAACACTGGATAGTACCACTAGGACCTTCAAGAAGAAGTAGTAGTACTAATTGTATACTTCTATAACAAGTACTACAACAAGTAAGTTCTTGATCTTGCTGCACACTCCATTCCACAAAAGAAATCAGTCAATTGCTGTCTTTCTTTGATGGTATTTTATGAGTAGTCCATGACTGATACTGCTAATGCTACTGCTAGTACTAGAATTATGATTTGTGTTTTATGATTGAGAGTCAGAGCGGAATTCAGGATTGCAATAGTACTACTGGCACTAGTACCCTCATTATGACACTTCATAGCAACTCTTCTTGTTGGGAACATATTTCAGTCAAAAAAATCTTAATATTATATTTAACCTTGTGAAGTAGAAGAGGCACTATATGGCCAGAACCAGAGCCCCTYTGGACTAGGGAGAAGAATGCTCTTAGCTGCACCAAGGGGCAGCACCTCCCTCCAAGGAGATTTTGTGGAGGCGCAACCAAGTTTTATGCACACTGACAGGCCAATGAAGGCCTGAGGCAGGATTCAGAGGACATAAAAGCAGTTGGTTCACAGTTTGGATGGGTGAGAACCATGCCATTATCATTTCAAAGGGCACTGCCAAGCCTGAAGGCAAGTTGCCACATGCAGTGATCAAGGAAATGTGTGCCAAGCACACTGCCAAGCCAATTAAGGCAAGTCAAAGCCCAGTGGGCGAGGACACATGTCATGGAGTAGCCAAAAAGAAAAAGAAAAAACCAAAAAAGAAAAAAGGAAACCATCTCACATCTTTCAAATCACAGCTGATCACTCCCAAAGAGCAGCT